CTTTACCGCGGCCGATTTGGAACGTGTAAAACTAACCGTTTTTGGCACGCTGGAGCTGAACTTGAACGCAATATGCCAATTTTGGCTCGGCTTTAGCCGTTTTTGAACGCAGCCCAGCATAATCAGATTATGCTTGATTATCCTCGCCAAAAATTGCCTTATGTATGATCATGATATCAACGGCGAGTTCAGATACACTGAAACCAGCAACACAAGCTGCGTTCGGCGTTCGGTATTAAGGTACTGATCAATCATTTCGATCTGAATCGTTCATTTATTGCATAAATGTAGGGGACGTAAATCTAAGCCGTTCGTTAATTCGGCTCGGATCAGTCGGACGTTAATAGGGAACTTTACAATTTTTTTTTCTTTGAAAAAATCATTTAATTATGCCTTAAAAGAGTATTCCCCAAATATTATTCCCTAAAACTCAATAATAATTTTGTGAAAAATGTTTGGCGCGTATTAAAATCATTTCGAACGATCTTAAAAGCGCGCGAATCTGGATGACGTCACGTAGAATGACTTTGCGTCACCTCGTCACCAAACGTCAGACTTCATTGCATTTGATTTGGTTGATTTCCACCATTTCTTTAATTTGTTGTAGTTCTGTGTTGCGGCGAGTTGTATATTTTGAAGTTATAATGGAAGAAAAGTTCAAGGTAGGCGCGTTCTTTGCGGCTGAAAATAATTTGAATTTTTTCGCATTTCTAATTCCTTATTGCGGCCGTTTGCGTACAAAAATTTAATTTTTAATACCTAATAAGGCGCTTTTCGGCAAAAATGCCCCAAATTCAGTTTCTTATTTGATTGCCGGATATCTTCACTGATATCTTATTCCAACTTCTACATTTTTGCTGCTCACATCAACGAACTTTTGTAAAAAAATCTTCAAAAGTTGCTGAAACCATTCCGATGTCCTTCTTGAACTGCATGTTAGATAAACCGTGGCTCGATTATTTTTTCTGCATAACCCTCAACCTTTGCAGAAGAACCCAGCTTCTTTTTCTCATCGTCTTTATCATCAAAAATCAAGCAAAAAAATCAAGAACGATAATTCACAAGAGGATATTCGCTTCTCGTAAGCGCCGTGTTCGTCAATTTTAGCCGACCGCAAAGGTCAATGACCGGACGCGTGACGTACTCCGGCCTACTCAACAAAGATTTGGTATTAGTTATGTTCTTAAAGTTTAATATAACATTTGTCAAAATTTATTGCATTAAAAGCTGAAATAACATTATTAATGGCTGAACCATAATTATCCTCCTACACCAATAACGCATAAAACTTGTTTCGAGTGGGCCAGGTGACGTCACTACAGCTACAGCAGCGGGTTCTCGAGCTAAACTGGCGGAAAAAAATCGTCGATGTGACCATCCTCTGTGGTTCATCTTTCTTGCAAAAAAATCATCAAAGAAAAACGGAGGTAAAGCCGAGGTTAGAAGTTTGTTCATTCAGTCCGAATGGGTGGGGCCGTGCGTTTATTGCAATTTGCTGAGACTAATCTGTAATCACGTGACCAAAAATCCGTCGCGTTTGCGATACAAATACCGAACTCAGCTACAGGAGAAACTCGAAAACCTTAAAAAAATACTCAATCCAAAATCAAAACAAATCAACCTGCCTGGTGGCGGCATCTGTTAAGGGGGAAAGCCCCGCCGAGAGTCAAAAATTGCAAGTCACCAAACGCGGTTGGTGCAAAGCGCTGTTCTTTAAAATACATTAGTTACCTACTTTTCCTATTTTTGGTGGATAATTTTTAACAACTGCTTGTACTTTTCCTGATTATGATGTTCTATAATTTAAAATTTGTATGCTCTCTTTTTTACAAGAAGAATCCTCATCAATACCTCAAGTTATACCGAATTTTGACAAATATCTTGATAAACCTTGAACCTTGCCAATATACTGGGTCATCATTGAATCATCAACTTCCAATGCGTAACCAGTTGCAAGCAAATCTGTATCTCTCCTGAGTCCCGGATGTTCGTAGGAGCTCGTGATACTCCCCCAGAGTATCACCAAGGCGGAGGAAATTAATTTGCATCCAAGCTTACAACCAGTAAAAAGGAGAAAAAACTTTTGTCAGATAGGAAGACAACTGGTTCACTTTAACTTCCTACATCAAAACTATCACAGATGTGGAAACATGATTATCAGAGGAAAACTGAAAAAATGAGGATGGACAAAAATTCTTGCAAAAAATCGTCAACGCACATAAGCTGGAGAGGTTACAACGTTGCATAAGCTGATAATATACGGGTTGTCCGTTTTCTTGACACCTTGGCAAGTGTTACTTTCAGGAACATTCAACAGAACACTAACTAACATCATTCCTGATATCGACAGTACTATAATTTTGTTTCCTTGGCGAAGGTTTTTTGTAGCCGGGGATTTCACTTTACTGATGTGTTTTCGCTTAGTACTTCGGTTAGTTCGGTTCATTCAACACAGGACACAGGTTCTTCAGGCGGCACCTCCACCATAGGCATCATATGTCACATAGGTTTGTGCCTAATTAGAGACGGTTTGCTAGAGGGATAGGGTATTGCTCCAGGAAAACATACGTGTGCCACATGGTTCGTAGGGTTTCGACTTAGGTCGCAAGATTCGCAAGAGTAAAAGCGCTTAGGTCTCTGTACTCTGGCATTTCTGAGGATTTCGTTTCGGCTCTCTGTGGCAATCTACTTCGTGGGCTCTGGTGGTCCGATCCTTTATATCTGGTTATCGTAAACATTACGTACCCGCTTATTAATAATTGAAATACATTTTTGGTATAGAAGCTAAAATTGATTAGGTCTTTTCGACCATTAAAACTTTAACACTGACCTATACTGCTTAGGCTGGCTGATTGATGTATTTATTTCTTTCTTTTCTACTAATAGAAATAAAGCCCTACCAATGAATATTGAATATTCAGAAAGATTTTGAGGCTTCGACTCTCTATAGTTCATCAATTACTATTCCGCAGCAGCATATATAAATATGTCAGAAGAACCTTTAATATCTAGGTACCTGTTGGCCTCCTCCCTCGAACAATTATACACTGGTACCAAAGCATTCAGCTATTAGGGCCTTGCATTACATTCGAAGGCAACTTCATCTGAGAACAAAATATTATGTAGTTTTATCATGGATAAAATGGCTATCCGCCAACATGTAGGTACCCAGCCTTGGGAAAAGTTTTGTAGATATACATAGACATTGGCGCTGAGTCCAGTGAAAATACTTATTTTGCAAACAATTTTTTTTGCAAAAGTTGTTCGAGGTTTAGAAGTTCATATTAGGGCATCTGGAGCCTACTGATTCAGAGTCGACAAAAATTTGAACAGGATTTGAAACCGATTTTACAGGGGCAACTATTATAAGGATGTAAAGACATGGTGCCGACATTGATCATTGTGCACCCAGTAGAACGTAGCGATGCCCTTCGAACGAATGGCAATAAACATAGCTAGTCCATTCTCTGCGACGCGCAGTGACAGCAAATACATCCTGGTTGCCATGGACACCAAGTGGCCCGCTATCCCAAACCAAAAAGCATCTAAAGTTGCAAAATTCCTCGTCAACAATATTTTTACTGGGTTTGGAATGCCGTTGGAATTGCATTCGGATCAAGGGCTCAATTTCGAGTCGCGATAATTTCAGAAACTTTGTGAACTAGTCTGCTAGGCATTCACAAGACCGGAACCACGACATTGCATCCACAAGCAGATGCTATGGTTGAACGGGTCAATCAGATGATCGAGAAACATCTTTCAAAAGCAACGTCCACACGGAAGATGGAGGACGACGTCTGAAGGGCGACAAGAAGCAAATGCAAGAAACACTCGCAGCGACAGAAATTAGGCAAACTTTCTAAAACGATCAAAAAATACTGAATAGCCTGTTGACTAAACAAAGACAACAAATAATGCAGAGAAGTTGTGTTTGTTCACGTCCAGAGGGCCGGTCTTAAGTCCTTTATCTTTTATGCTGCGGACTTTAGTCAATGAGCATGAGGACGATTGGGGCGAGCATATATTTTCATTTCTATTATTGGCATACAGACCAGCTGTACCCACATAATATCTACTGTTATGATATGGAAACAAACAAAGGTAAGGCTGAACGAGAAATGAATCTTTGAGTTCAAGAACAACAATTGAAGAAGCAGTGAAATGGTGATACTAATCACTAATATCATTGGACCGTAAGCTTTCCACGCAATCGTGGGAAATACCCGCTAAATCCTGCGCAACGGCGCCACGCCGGTCTAGCAATAAATCCTGACTTTACCGAGGTGGCGCCTGTCATCCCTTGAAGAGAAGACCTGAGTGTTTTAACTGTCTTGATATACATAGAATTCATTACCAGATGCCAGTGATGGTGGTTGGGTTACATTACAAGACGATGGACAGAAAAAAGCTCGAGTGGAGGGCGAGAACTTGTATAGAAGTAGAGGTAAACCACCTTATAGAAGAGTATCAAGTCAATGGGAAGCAATAGCACAAAATAGGAAGACATGGAAACGCTAAATTTGGCTGTATGGGGATGATGACTTTGTTCAGGTACTTTTTTCGAAACTTTCAACCATACATCCCTCAAGCCAGGTTGACACTGTCCAAGTGTACTTGGATCAAGTACCCTTGGACGCTGCGCGCGCCTCACTTATACGATACTTGGACCGTAGCAACTGTTTATCCAAGACCAATTGGATAGGTCCTAACACCCAAGTAAGTAGGCCGGCTGCCAACTTACTTAGACCGAGCACTTGGACCGTGTCAACCTGGTTTTACCGATTTGAATAGCAGTTTTTGGTAATCTTTTTTTATCATATAAGTAGATGGAGAAGAGTATTCTGCAGGACCTTACTTATGGTTGAGTTATTTTATCCAAAGTCTTCTAGCGAAAATCAAAAATTGCTTGTTGTCATTTCGCCAATTAATCTTTCACGCGCCATAATTAAAATAAAATCCAGTTTGGCCTACTTCTGGACTATTTTTTTGCCATCAAAGGTAATTCTACTTATAATATCTAAGGCTTATTTTATTAGATATATTTTTGGTTAAAGCAAAACCTTAAAACGATACATAAGCTGTTTAATAGTTTACATAACAATAACTACTACCTACTCTTCTTAACTTTTTACATACAAAACAATAAAAATACAGTTAATATCACACAAATTTGGAGATTAACATTCCTTTTCTTTAAAATCTAATGCTAAAATTAGTATAATCCGGCTTAGCTAACATTTGCCAATTATTTAATTCACATCTCTCGACGTGGCTTCCAGGAGACCCAGCATTTGAGAGCCAGTAAACCCTAAAAACAATAATAATAATAAAGTTAATGTTTTTAACACTATCATAGAGCTATATCAAATGGTTCAAATCTATACGCCCAATAACCATTCTGGGCAGAGTGTCTAGGATTTCTATGTCGAGACCGAAACCCTAGTAGGTATCTGATGCTCATAGAAATGCTTGCTAATCCAGACACCATGGAATATGGAAAGAAAAGGAAAACGAGACTAAAAAATTTAACATCGCACTCAAAAGAAAACCCAAAAAAATTTTATTTGACGAACACCTAATTGGTGCTTATTGTCAGAAACTAAAAAGAAGGCCATATTGTTTCTCAGTGGCAAATTGCCGAGCCAGCGCGAGAGTCGAAATAAATAAATATTTAAAGACATGATATGAACGAAGTCGAAATGCCAACAAAAATATTATGCACTTATTACTCAAAGTGAGAAAGACACCATAATATGATAAGTATTATAACCTAGGACTAGGTATCATTCGTTCCATTCATGAACTAGAAATAGGAACATCTTGACTCATCAATGGTGTAGCATGAAGGCATGTCGTACCTACATTTGGAGGTGAGGAAATGTAGGAAATTTTTTTCATTTAGGGTACCTAGAATGGGTATTTTTCAAGAAAAGCTCTACTCTCCAACACGAGAGACAGCCCGGCATGAATATAAGCCAACCGTACATCCGTTTATACATCCAATTCCAAGAAAGTAATTCTATCGCTCATAACAAAAAAAAAAAAACCACAAAGATGATTAGATGACGTAGCCCAAGTTGAAGTTTTCAAGAAGCTTACAATCTGTATACCTAAAGAGCCGATGAACTCTAGGCAATAATAAGCCTAGCACGCGAATCGATACAAGTTTTACCTTCTCCCATTATAAAATAAAAATTCTTCAACTTGGTGATGATGTTCTGGATAGAAGAGTTCAATTTCGTAAAATTGTGACTAGGGTTTATTGCTGAGCCTAGACATGAAAATTTGTTATCCGGTAATTATTACTGTCTTTTTTATCTATAAAAGGATGAGTTGAACAGCAAAATTGCCGTTATTGGAGAAATGAGAACCGATACATATTTAGAGGAGGTTCTATACTTAAGTACCCAGAAAAAAATAAATGTTTGGGTAGGCATGTCAACGAGATGCTGCATTTGGTTTGGTATTAATAATAGAGTGATAATCTGGATGGTAAGATTATGGTAACCCTCTAAATGGTAGATATCGTCGTCCTTTTCATACCCGATGAATTGGAGAATTAATTGAATAGAAGTAGAACCCCTTTCTAGTCCTAGTACAAATCAGTGGATGGTGTGCTCCTGAATAGCCACATATGTCCCAGAATAACGCCAATTGATTTTTGTGGGATTGCCTGAAGTCTGCTGGGGTGGGGGGAGGGGGGAATGATAGTTAAAGCTAAACACTCTACTGTGCTGTACATAGGTACGTCAGGAATGTGGGGAAGGGTTTCGGTTTCACTGTTTGCAAATTGCAAAACATTATCCAATTACGATGATAAAATGAATTGAATCGATAATAATAGAAGGTACCTATTTGTAAGTGAATTAGAATTAATTACTCAAATGCATCATTAAGAATCATTATTCGAGGTGTAAAATTTAAAATTAAATATCACAAGTATATGGGGCTTCAATTTAAGATAATTTTGATGGAATAGCTGGGGGTGCCATTGCAAGTTTCCAATGTGTCACCCTGATGTAGTCATAATAATAAAATTAACAACTTACATTTGTTCTACTTTTGATTTAGGCCCTTGAAGTTTTCCAGTAATAGTTCCTTTTTTTGTATTCTTAATCCATCCACACACTTGAAATTCTTCGCACATGTCCTTGCAATATTTTGTAAACGAACATCCTAGAAAATGAGATGAGAGTTTTCTTTTACATTATGCCAAATGCCAGACATGTTTTTTCTCAGAGGGATATTTTGTTTTCAAAAATGTAGTGTAGAGGACACTGAAAATTATATACAATAACAAAAATAATATTTTAACTCCCTACCTTGAACTTTTCCAAAAACTTCAAACTCTACCGATACATTAGGATCAATTAGAATCATATTTCCATCCATCGTAATTGAAAGTAAAACGCTCCACTTAATTGTTGTGTGTTGTTCCAATATATTAATTTGGCGAACCAAAGATAAATCAACTGTGACGGCTTGTTTTCTAATGCTAGAATCAGCTCTCTAAGAATCCAGTTTATAATTATACCCAAAACATCGCCCGTGGAGAAATGCAATTGAAATGTCGTTACGAATTCTTTTGTCGACGTTAGCCAACAATTTTGATCAAAAAAAAAATCTACGTCCCCATTATCTGTTTTAATATGAGCTAATAATAATTATATATAATTCCTGATGCTTTTTGTGCTTCAAATTATAAATTAAATGAAGAACTTAATTATTTTTGTGTTCAGGACAACATGTTTATGGAGTTTTTTTTTTATTGATATAATCTACACCTTTGAGTACTTCATTCGCATTCAAAAAAACCTAAATACCTATCCAGTCCCAACTCGCAGGAATAATATGGGATGAAAAATATAGTTTTATTGTTTATCTTATATTATTGAGATCATTAAGATCTGGCAATGGTAATTTTTATCGTTAATTTGCTTTGAAGTATTTTTAGATCTTTTTTGAATTTGGCTATGGTCACTATCGCAATTTTCATAGACTTTTGGAGGTCATTGGTCATTCAGGTCAAAAAATGTCGAATAAAAGTCATTTGGTCAGGTGAAGAGTAGATATTTGTAAGTTTGAACACTAACCTGAAAGCTTTTTTAGTTGTTTGGGGTTGTAATTTGACTATTTGACACTGTCGGATTTTTAAAACCTTCAGCAAAGACGAATAGAACATGAAGTATGCATGGAAATTAGACAAAGAATGGAAAGAAGTGTTCTACAATGCATAATACAACGAAGGTCTTCTGGAGAAAAAAATAGCTAAAGAAAAACTGCAATTATAAAATTGATAAATAAAGATGATACACGATCAACTCGTTATAGAGAAGTACCTTATTAAATGGGGGAAATATCTATAAAACTTTTTCAACCAATGTTTAGAAAAAGGAGGACTTCAAGAATTACGCTACTTACATTTCCCGTAGACCAGCTTCTTCCTGAAATTATTAATAACAGAATAAATACCCTGTCATCTCGATATTTTCCAACCACCAGAACAAGCTGATTTCAGACCTATTTGGATCCTATCGAGTTCTAGAAAGCCCTCAACTTAATCGAAAAATGGGCACTAATTGCCCAAATGACCCTTAAATGATGCAGTATTGACCATTGAAATATACAACGATAATCAATCAACGCCCTCGACCAATTTGTCACTGCACCTATAATAATCTGGAAGCCTCCAGCTTTTGTTGATATTCTCATCATTGATAAGAACCAAATCACCAGTGTTGATGCGTCCTCCACTCCATGCGTCCTCCAATGTGGTATTCGGATACGGAGGCGATAAATTTATCTTTCGATCGGAAAATTGTCTATGAAGCAGTATAATAAAAGTTTACGTTCTCTTATAACTACATTATATTTATTAATGCTTTTTACTACAAAGTGGGAATTATCTGAGGCCCACCATCTTCCTGATTCAGTTTCTCTAAATTTCTTCATGAGTTTGACTAGTGTCGAATAAGCAATTGCTGCTATCAGATTGATCATTTCTTCTAGTTCTTGTGCCTTATTTTTTTGAAGTGTAAGAGTAGCACGCATATAAGAAGTAAAATGCAGTTGCAATAAGAATTGGATTTCGCAAAATTCAAAACTTTGTAATAGAAAGCAATTATTATCAAGACGTGTCCGAATTATGTATCTAGAGCGTTAAATAATAGGGTTTTATATATTTAGAAGATAGTACTTGAATGTTCAACTGTATTTTCAGTCAATAGATAGAATGAAAAATCGTGATTTTTCGTGTTTACTGTGAATATATGTCTGTAATATTCCTAAAAAAAACAATCATAATAACTTATGAAATTGTTATCGATTATCCATAGAAAAAAGTACTTTAATTGAATACGAAGAGCATCCGACATCGATGTTGATTTGATATTCGATTAATTTGAAAATAAAATGGAAAATTGTTATGAAATTGATTCAATCGTATTGCAATTTCCGAATTGATAATGGCCTAATAAAATGTTGCGATTCAATGTCTATAGATACCGCAGATTATCCGGATAAATTTACTGGGTATTAAAGAACATTCTGAACAGGCTCCATGGCAACCTCTCATTCATTTTGACAATCCATCAATATCATAAGTACAAATTGGAAATAATATCGGAATGTTGAGGTTCCTACTATTTATGTTCAATTTGATCCCCTCAATATTCGATCTAATACTCGTTATTACCATTTTTCTCTGGATCTTGATACTTCTTCATTGTTTATTCCACTTGGTAAAGTTACAAATTTTAATATTTCTAGTTTATAAGCCTTCCATGTTTTCAGATGATTCACACGGATCCAAATGACGAGCATGGCGAATAAAATGCGAGAAAACTATAATACAGACAAATCAGATGAACTTATTTTGATTTAAACGTGTTGTCTTTCATTGTTCCATATAATGAATCATTAAAGCATTCAACTTTATTTTATCGGCTTTTCTTTCTTCCAGCGTACGAAATAAAGAATGAATAAAGATATCAGTCGTGCTGTTTTTTCTAGTAGTGAAAAATACTGTAGAATGCTAGAAAGCTAAGACAAATCGGTTGAATATGCAATCCGCAATAAGAAGATATACATCTTTAATTTTCTAGCTTACCTATTGGGTTAATAGTTTTAAAAATTAAATTATATTGGTCCGCTTACAAAAGACAAAGTCTATACTACCCAAGCGGTACCATGAGCGGAAGAAATAATTGAGTTACGATTACAGTACCATATTATAACCCAACATTTTTAATGACAGTTTCGGTCTGGAAGATTCGATTCCTATCATCCAGTTACTCACTCTAAGCGCAACAAGTTCCGTGTCAATGCACTTCCTCCACGTGGTTGAAAACCAACACTGTTATTAATTGCTATAATTAATTTAATCATAATATTGTACTGTTCGTCTTTGCTAATCCGTTTGTTTGCGGTAGTAAAAGTGTTTTGAGTTGGAATTAAAACGATTAAAAACTAACCGCGTTCGAGTTTTATTAAAACCACCCAAGGTCTATCTGGTCCACTCTATCGAAGGAACTCTAAAATCCCCACATAATTTCTGGTCTCTTCTCACGGATTGTTGACTTGCAACCGATTAAAATCGATAGACAAAGTGGTTTTAAGAAACAATTCGGATACTTTTGACGTTGAAAATAGTACTTGTGTGCATTGACTCGTGAAAACAAAAAAGTAATCCAGTCTCCGTCCCATTGTAGCAGACTGCAGGATCGCAGTCCTCGCGCTACGCCCCAGTGGCCTCGCGGCTCTAGTTTTGTGGCCCAATCCCGTGGCCTTGCAAATTGGAAATTGAAGATTACGGCACTCTGCCGCCTGGATTTCAAGGAAAATTTAAAGTCAGATCTTTCAATTTTATTTATGATGGTTATGGAAAGTCGTTCACTACAGAACTTCAAGAATTTCATCACACTGTGACTACTGGTTTTTTTGTAGTGGTTTTGTGCGTTTGTTTTGGTGTTCCATAGAATATTTTTGCACTCTCTGTGGCAAATACTTATTTGCAATTTAACTGACATTAATTTAAAGTAGGAAGGAATAATATAGACTCTTTTCTCACAACTTTTTTATAAGATTCTTACAATCTTTCTCGTTTTTCAAAAACAAAAAATTTCTTATTTCATTTAAAGCTAAAGCGTAGATATTTCTTTCAATTTAAAATGTCTGAATTAGGAATTGATGTAGAAAGCCTCAAACGCAAAAGAGGCAGGCAAAAGGCTGTGATAACAAGAATTGAAAACTTTGTTCGACAAAATGTTGATGTTGCAAATATTGATGCTAATGATTTTGTTGTAAGGGAAGTGCAATTACACAAAGCTTATGCGTCATATCTAGAAGTACAAGATGATATTGAAGATGTTGACGAAACTCAATCTGCTGACAGAGATGAATTTGAAGGTAGATATTTCAATCTTGCGGCAAAATTAAAATCTTTAATTCAAAGGTTTTCTCAGGTATCAATTAACTCGCCCACCCCACAACTTCTAGCCACACCGCCTCTGGCGCCTCTAGCCTTGCCTAATGGCCCACCAATTAACCCTCATTCAATTCAAGTTAAGCTTCCTAGTTTAAATGTACCTACTTTTATACAGGTAATTTCAAGGATTGGCCCGCTTTTAAAGATATTTTCTCTGCACTAATAGATTCAAATCAGAATCTCTCCCCTGTGCAAAAACTAATGTATTTGAAATCTGCTTTGAAAGGTGAACCATTGGACCTTGTGAATAGTTTGTTAATGACCAACGAAAATTATGCAGTTGCAAATGAAATGTTGAACAAGCGATACAACAAAAAACTTTTGATTATTAATTCATTATTGCAGGGTCTATTGGACGTCCCACATATTTCCAAAAATAACTGCACAGCCTTGAGGCAATTCATAACTCAGGTTAACAAAAATCTAAAGTCGTTAGAAGCACTACAAGTTGATATCGAGAATTTGGATTTGCTTTTAATTTATATTTTCTCTAAACATTTAGATGCTGCAACAAGGCAAGACTTTGAACTAGAGCGAGAAACAGACGATTTGTCTACATTGGACGAATTTATGCCAGTTTTATTAAAACCACCCAAGGTCTATCTGGTCCACTCTATCGAAGGAACTCTAAAATCCCCACAGCACCATATTCAATTTGTTGTAACTTTTTTAAACTTATTATTTTTTTTAATGAGGTTTTTACGAGGATTTTTGATATTTGAAAGCCCATGACCCATGTTGTATATCTTGTAATGGCCCACCAATTAACCCTCATTCAATTCAAGTTAAGCTTCCTAGTTTAAATGTACCTACTTTTATACAGGTAATTTCAAGGATTGGCCCGCTTTTAAAGATATTTTCTCTGCACTAATAGATTCAAATCAGAATCTCTCCCCTGTGCAAAAACTAATGTATTTGAAATCTGCTTTGAAAGGTGAACCATTGGACCTTGTGCAAAAACTAATGTATTTGAAATCTGCTTTGAAAGGTGAACCATTGGACCTTGTGAATAGTTTGTTAATGACCAACGAAAAT